AGGCTCGTGGTGAAGCTGTAGATTTGCGAGTGAAGAATGAAGCCCATGCGAGGGAGAGGGCTCGGCTGTATGACGAGGTGAATGCTCTTAAGAAGAAAATTATCAAAGATCAACAGGTGAGATATTACTTATCAGTTTTGGGTGTAGTGAGTACTAGGACCACCTGGCCGAACGCGACCGGATGTCGGCGACGTTTAATCAGAGGATCGAGGAGATCACTAGGGAATTCGCGGTAGGTCAATGACCTCACTTCTCGATGGTGGTTCATCATCAGGATGGTGTTGCGATGAAGGCCGAGGAGAGGCGACGAAGCGGAGGAGGTGCGACAAGTGAGAAACTCAGACTGCGAGTTGAGGAGCTTACCTTTGAACGAGTGAGACTGGCTGCTGTTATAGGCAGGTATTGGTCGTTTAGGATGCCCTACTTGGTGAGCTCGAGGAATGTCGTAGAGAGGTCCCCGCAGCTGTGTGTGATGATGAAGGATGAATTAAAATGAATCGATCGCATGATATAGTAACGAGTATCTTACATTATCTCGATTTTGTGTTCAGTAAAGTGTATAGGGCGAAAAATATAATTCGGATGTAGAATTACAAAATGGTCCGGTTGATGAACCGTGTTGGCACAATTATCATCACTGATATTGCTAATGGTAATTTATCATACTGTATAGTGTGTTTCCACATCACATTGGTCGCTAACAAGGCGATATTACGAAGTAAACACAAGAAAGACCCCGAATACAAGTGCGGGCCAGTCCACAAACTCTACCGTAACAGCCAATCTTTTTGAGGTGCGCCAAGGAACCGTTATTGCAGCACTCACAGCTAGCCTTGCTCACTTCGTGAACATCGTCCTTGATAGTGAATTTCGAAAACGCCATCCGAACTATCGTGGGTAGAACTCAGCGGTTTTCTAGTCCATTTTTCTCCAACATTGCCACGATATTGAGATCACTTCAAAGTCGCCCATTTCATGACAACTTCGAAGTAATGATGAACCTTCGCAAATGGCTCGACTACTCCATTCGAAAGGTGTAGATATTGTGTAAGTAGAACCCGTTCAGTTCTCGTATTCACTTCCTCAAAGTCGTGTGTGGCTTCAGCGTCACATGCTAGTTATCTCGATAACTGAACGCACTCTGATAGGGGAAACTATTGTATTTGCAGACATGTACGCTGCCAACAGCATAATCATACTTGCACAAACTTCCCACCGCACCGTTTGCATCTTTGGGTGTATACATTCACCGATTTCGTGTGCCGTGATATTCTGAAAACTGCAATCTCTCACTAATGTGAACCAGAGAGTGAGTACTATTTACTTGTGTTCGCAATCTGTACATATGAACGAGTACTTGGCCCGAATCTCGTAGGAGTGGCTAGTAGTCACCGTATACTGCGGGAACACAGCTGACGCAATCCGAGCCCTGAAACCCGACACGTCTCATTCAGACAACTTTCCAAACAGTATTGGAATATATATACGTTTTCCTCAGCTCAGCTCAGGAGCTTCCTCACGAGTTATTCAAGTTCATCTGTACATATTCGGGTGGAAATGCATCGAAACGGATGAGAATTTCACAAAATATCGTCAGAGTTTCCATATTGTCACCAGAACATGTTTTCAAGTAACTGACCATTTCTTGAATGCTGATCCATGAGGAGGCCGGAGCTCACCGCTCAGAATGAACTGTGCTACATGGCACATCTCGTGAAGCAGTGTCTGGCAATGCCAACTATCAGCCGCGACAAAACACATGCACCTCAGGCTTACTGTGCAGACACGTACTGGCCGATCGAGAACCTTGGTAGACAGTTCTATTCGACAGATACCATTCTTGAAAACAGTGACGCCAGCAGTGGTGAGCATCCTATTGTTCCACGTGATCTCCATGTCCTATAAGAACAGAGAACG